AGACGTAGTGGGCATCCCGTATTAGACTTTGAGACCGTGTAGGTCAAAGAACGCCACTTTGTTACTTAGTCGTCGTTTCGTAAAATTAATAGATATTCGATCCTCTGAGAAGTTTTCTTAGGTATGACTTGGTCAAAATGTCCCCTGAAACGACTAACACTGGGTGTCCATTTGCACGATCGAGTCGGATTTGGTTGGTTTGCTTTCCAAATTGAGGGTGCAAAACCGCTAATGTGGCACAATCCGATCGCGCCCGACTCATTGCTTCAAAAACAAACGCGTTTGTCTTCATGCGACGAGTTGGGCGATCGACCCAACCCAACCCGATTCCATTTGCACTGGGCACCCGGTGTACGGAAGATTAGCCCAGTCCAAGGAGTTTACACTAATGGAGGATGCTCTGTGGGCGGCACCGCACGCCTGATAGGAGCCCTCTAAACTCCTTGGCCCAGTCTCAAATTTAATTTCAAAGTCCAACTCCCGCTACAAGATAAGTATCAGGCAAGGATGTCAGAACACAGTAGTGCAGCACTCTGACAAAACGCCTTTTTCTTATAAACTGCATTTTCATGAACTCAACGATTTTCGGTTTTCTTCTAATATCCGTCAAGCTTAGGCAATGACATTTCTCTTCAGGGTGCGAGATCAACTGTTGATGTGCTGTGCAAAATAGTTTAAATAATATTATAAGAAGAACGAAAAAAGCTGATTTCTCGAAACTGCTGTGAATAAGAAAAAGGTGTTTTGTCAGCAGACGACAGCACAAGAGTAGATCTACATGCTCATACTACACCATGAACGTGATAACATCCGGAAAAATAAAAAAATTCGATGATAAATGGAGGGCACATTCTTATAGCCAAGTCAATGTTGAACAAGATGATTTTTAACTTTTTCAAACACCCAGAGTATTTTAAAAGTATGCTACGTTTTGTAATACTGAGTATAAAAGCAATGTTTGGAGAAAGGGAGTGTATACAGACCCGGTAACCGGGAACAAAGTCACAGACCCGGTAGGGGAACTCTTTTGTGATTTCGGAAAGTTTCAACGCCCTCTTGGCTCAGGGACTTAGGGTAGCCCAAGGAGTTTACAGTAAAAGCTAGGTTCTTCTAGCTCTATGGCCTAGGTCTAGATCTTGACAGACAGACATAAATCATTGATCAAGTTGCGTGGTTAGCCTAGATCTAGATCTAAATGAAGATTGCGGATGTCTTTTCAATGAACGATGGGTTTTCCTCCGTTT